TTTGCAGATGTTCTCATACCAGGAACCAACTTAACTTTCAGCAAGTAATGGGAGATGAAAATATAGTTGGCTTTTAATAATCATTGATCTTTTCTTTTGTCTATCTATCTTGCTGGTTACCAGAAATAAAATTCTATCTATCTATCTATCTATCTATCTATCTATCTATCTATCTATCTAAGGAACCAAATCGTTTGCAACCTTCTTGCAGGGGGCAATGGGAGATGAAAAAAGAGGTTGGCTTTTAATAATCATTGATCTTTTCTTTGTCTATTCATCTTGCTGGAGCTACCAGAAACAGTGGCTCCTAAGCCCATTCATCTATCGCACTCCATGATTTAGCCCCTATCTATCTATCTATCTATCTATCTATCTATCTATCTATCTATCTAATCTCTATGCGTATCTACCTATCTATCTATTCACCCATGTATGGATGTATCTATCTATCATCTATCATCCATTTCTATTTAACTCTCTCATATTTCTACATACCTATCTAATCTCTATGTCTATCATCTATCATCTATTTATATCTATCTAATCTCTATATCTATCCATCCATGTATCATCTATATCCATCCATGTATCTATCTATCCATCATTAATCTCTATGTGTCTATGTACCTAAGTATCTATATCCATCTATCAATCTATTTATCTATCTATCATCTATATATCTAGCTACCTATCCATCTATCATATGTTTTTATGTATGTATTTATGTATGTATGTATGCATCTATCTATCTTCTATCATTGATCTCTATCCATCCATCATCTATGTATGTATGCATCATGTATGTATATATCTGTCTATCTACTATCATCTATTTCTATCTGTCCATCCCTCTATGTATCTATCTACCTTTATCTGCCTGCTTATAGCACACATCTATCTTTTGATGGTCTGCATTATTCATGCAAGAAATGTGAACACGGTGCAAGTCTTTTTTCTTGTTTACTTGGGTTTTGCTTGCAGCATTTTGAAGAAACAAAACCCATTTGAATGAAATCATGATGTGTGCAGTCTCCAGGAATGCAGTAAAACTCCCCAGCAATTCACTTGCCCCAGTGTGTATGTCCCTGGGAATGTGGTGAGGCTCCCCAGCAATTCACTTGCCCTAGTCTAAGAGAGAGACTTTTTTCATGGTATAAGTATGTAAGTGTTTAGTGTTTGTTGTATTCATAACTAATACAATTTTAGGCATTCAATACAAATCTACACAATAATATATTCTGTTTAATAAGAATATTTACTCAAGCCCATAGTTAACTTTATGTGAGTCATCTTGTGAAGTGGCAGAAAATCCAAGATAACATAATGTTTGTGAACCTGTATTTACTTACCTTATAGTACCACTTATATCTAAATGCCTGGAAAAATAATCATTTAAATGGAAACATTAAAATACTATATCTTTAGGTCTCAGTGTTACAGTAGAGTCAAATGTAAGCTATTTAGGATCTGCTAAGGTCATATGTAGTCTTCAAATATTGTATGAAAGGAGAAAAATTCAGCTTATTTCCTGAAACCATGGGGTTTATAAGGAGAGTTTATTACCTGATAAGAATAGATGTTTTGTATTCCAAAGCAGGTAACATTTAGGCTTTTTAACTGTTCACAAATAAGTCATGTATCCATAAACTGGGAGAAATAATAAAGGAAATATCATTCCATCCCTTTAATTTTAAGGATCTGAGACTCCTTGAGTTTATTTGTGTTTCAATAAAAGGATGTAAAAGCTGTATGCAAAAGCTTTTAAATCATCTTAGATACGTGCTATTGCTAATATTAGCTATGCCTTTGAAGCGTCCATGGGTTGCAAATTTACAAAGCCCTCCACATTCACTATATTCAAACTGTTCTTTGACATACTTCTGATTTTCACAGGAATCTCAGGAACTTAAAGCATGTTGCAAACACTAATTACACGTAAGTATGTGAATCATGTAAGAGAGCAAACTCGAGGAAGATAAATATTAACCCACTTGATCATGATGTCAAGATGTAGAGGCTGCCCATACTTATGTCAGATCTCTGGAACTGGGGGGTGGAGCCCACATGCCTTTATCAACTAGATTCACAATGTTGCTGGCTTTCTTCATTAGCTTGTGAAAAGAATTATGGCAAAGCTCTATTTCAGTACTGTACAAAGTGCTAGGTAACTGTAAAAAGTTACTTAGAATTGAGAAGTCAAATAACTATTAAGATTATAGTTCAACTTACTTAGAATTGAGTTGTCAAATAACTATTAAGATTATAGACCGACTTTCAGTAAAATTCTGCATGAGTCTGTCTTCGGAAATTAATAACAAGGAGCCACATACTCATGTGCTCAGATGTTGTTTGTGAAAATTAATACAGATACGGAGTCCAACTCTCTTAATTTCCTGGAATAGGGGGCCCATCACAAGCAAACTATGAAACCTAAACAAATACAGCAAAACAAATACAATTGATCCTTGAACAACATGAGCTTGAACTGTGAAGCTCCATTTATATGAGGATTCTCTTCCACCTCTGTCACCCTTGGGACAGCAAGACCAACCCCTCCTCTTCCTCCTGCTCCTCAACCTCCTCAACATGAAGACAACGAGGATGAAGACCTTTATGATGATCCACTTCTACTTAATGAATACTAACTATATTTTATCTTCCTCATAGTTTTCTTAATAACATTTTCTTTTCTCTAGCTTACTTTACTGTAAGAATACAGCATATAATATATATATGTATATATATCATAAAAAATGTGTCAGTTGGCTATTTATGTTACCAGTAAGGCTTCCAGTCAACAGTAGACTATTAGTAGTTAAGTTTTTAGGGAATCAAAAGTTGTACATAGATTTTTTAAGTACCTAGGGGCTGTAATAAGGCCTATCTTTGTTAGGCATTATGGACCATAAAGAATTAACCACGACCCTTGCCTTTAAGAGTTTGCCTCTAAATAGAAAGAATGGACCTCAATTTTTTTTTTTTTTTTTTTTTTTTTTTTTTTTTTTGAGACAGAATCCCTCTGTTGCCCAGGCTGGAGTGCAGTGGCGAGATCTCGGCTCACTGCAACCTCTGCCTCCCAGGTTCAAGCGATTCTCCTGCCTCAGCCTCCTGAGTAGCTGGAACTACAGGTGTGCACTACCAAGCCCAGCTAATTTTTGTATTTTCAGTAGAGACAGGGTTTTGCCATGTTGGCCAGGCTGGTCTCGAACTCCCGACCTCAAATGGTCCACCTGCCTCGTGGCTGGGATTACAGGTGTGAGCCATCACACTCAACCAGAATGGACCTCACATTGACCACATGGGCTTTAAATAACAAGCTGGGAATTGACACAACAGACAGCCTTGAGTTCAATCTCTTGAGGTTTGGGGCATGCAGCAAGAAATGTAGAGCATCTAAGTCTTCCCTTTCTGAAGATTAAGTTAGTCCCAATCGGGGAAGAAACTTGCATAGTGCCCTTCAATCTCAATTCTCTAAAGCTAAAAGTAGAGGAAAATCCTCTGCTCACCCGAGCCAAAGGCTCCTCCTCTGCCTCCTAATCTCTGCTCCTGGATCTACACCTCTCAGGGGCAGTTGGAAAAGGGAGTTGCCCCTCTCCTTAGAAGAAATGCCTCCTGCTACACACCAGTGGGTCACCTTTGCTTCTGGTTCCTACAGAATAATCTCATCACAACATCATAGTTTCCTCATCTATTGATTCGTATCCATTCATTTATTTGAGTATTTACTAAATACTTGTGTGGAAAAGCTCAATTCCAACACTGGGTTTTGCAAGTGCGGTGCTGAACTAGACAGGCCTGGTTCCTGCCCTCGGGTATTTTGCACATCGCTACTCATTCCAAGGTGTAAAGTTGGGCTTATCCAGGCTTAAATAGCTGCATATGTTCTGGGTCAAAACTTTAGAGTCCTGTACATCCATCTTAGGTCTTCATCTTTCAAAATACCTACTCACACACACAAGATAAACACGACTGAAGTAAGACAACCAAGTATCTTTTAATTGCCATATAAAAGATTGTGTGTGTGTGTGTGTGTGTGTATTTGGAGACAGGATCTTGCTCTGTCATCAATGTTGGAGTGCAGTGGTGTAATCATAGTTCACTGCAGCCTTGAACCCATGGTCTCAAGCAATTCTCCTGCATCAGCCTCCCAAGCAGCTGGGACTACAGGTGCACACCATGACACCTAGCTTATTTTTACATTTTTTTTGTTGTAGAGACAGAGTCTTGCTATGTTGTCCAGGCTAGTCTGGAACTCCCAGCATCAAGCAGTCCTCTAAAAGTGCTGGGATTACAGGTGTGAGCCACTGTTCCTGGACTGTATTTTATATTCATGTTGAGAAAAGCAACATCCTAATGGAAAAAAACCCCACATTTCAGAGAGACATAGCTGTGACTCAACTAATTCCTGCCATTTATTCTGCAGGATCAAATTCTATCTTCTCAGGCTTCTCCTCCTCAAGGACTGAGGGTTAGTTGAGGAGTATTCTTAGCTTTGTAGAAGAGGCAGGATTGTCAAGGAAGGATGCAGCTGTGAAATGCTCCTATGTGCTGCCTTCGAGCTGCTACTTTGAAAAATCCTTATGAACTGTGCAAGTCCCTTCCTCTATTGGAACTAACTGAATCTTCAGAAAGGTGAGGCTTAGACCTCCATACTTTTTGCCCCTTCCCTTCCCCCACCGAAAAAAACCCATGGTGATTAAAGATACTTGGTTGTCTTAGTTTACTAATATGAGATGGGGTGACCCAGGACTCAAAGAAGAAGCCCTTATGATGTATGATGAGAAGTCCATAGGCTTCTGTGTGTTGTAGGGCTGGAGAAGGACATGCCTGGGAAGTGGAACAGGGTGACCATGACCTTGGAGTTCAGAAAGACTGCTCCAGGGAATCAACACCAGGAAAGTGAGTTCCTGGTGAAGGGTAGTGGGAGGAGAGAGTGGATAACTGGTTTAGCCCACCTGTGTAAGTGTTGAGAGTTAGACTCTACTTCTCCCCTCTCCCACGTCGGTTTCAGAAGCCTTGACTTCCAACTTGAGGTTGGCGAGTTTCTTCTGGGGATACTGGGGAGACGTAAATGACAACTCATAAGTGATCAGAGCATCAGCATAGGCGGGGTGCACTGTGTGGTTTGTCATCTGTGGGATTTCCAAGAAGGACACTTACAAGCCACATCCTCTTATCCTCCAAATGCTTGGGTCCCAAGCTCTTCCATATAAGCCGCATCCTCTTTTCCCTCCACTGCCTGGGTCCCAAGCTCTTACTCTTTCCCTGCCACATTTCCTATTGACTCTCAACAAGTCAGGAGCATCAATCTGAGGCCATTTCCTAAGATTTTGAAAGGAATCCTGAGTAATGTCTTTCAGACCGAGGACATTCTGACAGCTGATTTACCAGAGGGGCATTTTTTTACCCAGATAATACCTGAGGAAAATGAATGTCTGGTTGGTATTGATACCCAGTCATAAAGTAGAAAAAAATCACAGTGAGAAATTGTGTACACACAATAAGAAATACAGTATTCACAGGTTACTTTCTTTTATTTATTTGATATTCCGTTTTAGAAGAAGTTTTTAGCTTTCTATAGTAAACCCTACTTTCATCTTTCTGCCCAAGGAAACAATAGTTACGACTCAAGGAAAGTGTGAGGAAATCCAAAAGAGAGCATCTCCCCGTAAACCTGATCAAATTCTGTGGAGAGTTTGGCGTTAATTGAATGAAGTGGCAGCCCTTCTGTAGTTGAATACGTATCAAAGTGAGGTACAAGTTGTTTTCCCTAAAAGAGTGTATGTGTGTTTGAGAGTGAATATTTGCACACAGATACATATTTATAAAGATCTATAACAAGACAATGTGGTTACATTGTGTTTGAATCAACATGTTTTGGATTAAGTCTCACTTGATCAAAAGCTCCCATTGAGATAAAAAGTGTCTCTCTACTACTCTGTTTTCCTACATCATTACATAAAACTCCACCACCCCTGGTGGGGAAGGAAAACTAAGAAATCTATTTTAAATATTCAAGGAATATATGCAGGAAGTGTTATTACATTCTATTAGCCACACCAACTGCTAAATAGAGAAAAGTCAGTTCAAAACTAACCGATATCCAGTCCCTGAAGTCTTCCGGGTGAGATTTTGCAGTGAGGGTCTCTAGAAAAGAAAGAATTACTTACTTACTACCTTGAAGTGTTGGAACTTAGGTGTGTCAACCTGAGGATGGCTTTCCCATCTGTGTTTTAAAAACCATATCAAGTCTGTGCATGTTCAGGACCTGTTCATGGGTGAGTGTGGGGCAGAAGCAGAAACTGACACTCTCTATCTGTTCTAAAACAAAAACAAGGCTTTTGAATTACAAATTTGGAGGCAGAGTTCTGGCTCATGAGAGTGTTAAGGGAAATTATTTGCAAGCTTGGACATAAAAATATGCAGCAAAGTCTAGATCTGTTTTATTTACTTTCTTTTTTGCTGCTGCAAAAGTCTTTTTTTAAAATCTTTCTCTCTTCAGGTTAAAAGAAATGGACTGAGCTGGCATATTTATCAAAGCAATTTACTGAGAATGCACTTTGACAGACTGCATTAAGAATGTTGACTTGTGAAAACAAAGGGTTGTTTTATAATGCACATAAATTATATGCTTTAAAAAAGTGAAGGGTCTGAATTTTTTTTAATGATCCTCTAGCTAAAGTAGAATGGAGTTTTGCCTATTTTTCATTTTAGCACTTCAAAAGGTCTTCTCAGAATCCCATGGCTGACATAACTCAAGCAGAAAAGATAGCACAACTGCATTATGCTTCTCTACTTGGATCTATTAAAATTAGATTTAAGTCAACATATATTTATTAAGTATCAACCATGCACCAAAGACTGTGCTGAATGCTTTTAAGGATACAAAGATAAACCAAACAATGTCAGAAGAAGGCTGAAGGGAAATATCTCCTCAAATAGTAGCCTACCAGGGTATACTAAAAAATGTGCCCTCAGAAGAACAATAGGGTTTCAAAGAAGCAATTGATTGTGTTTGGTTGAAGGCATGTCAATTATCTTATTTAAAACCAAATTTTGACCTCCATGTTTCTTGAGGGATGGATACTGGAAGAGACAGAAATCAAGGCAGAAGGGGGAGTCCAGAGGCACTAAGCAGCCTAAGCAAAGGTAACGTTTAAGGTCTGTTAAGGTGACTGGTTTGACTTGGTGTCCCAAGTACACATAGAGGAAGAGGAAGAGGAAGATGCAGGACTGGAAAGAGTGCAGCTTTGACACATCATTGATGGAAAATATGAGGAAGCTATGAAGATCTGGTAAGAAAATGCTATGCTGAAGGTGATATTTAATAATGGTTAATCCTGAAATGGTGTATGGTTGAATTGTTAAGGGATATGACTGAAGTTCCATCATGGGAGTATGGTAAAAAATTGCTGAGAAACAGTTGTATCTGAAATGCATGGGAAAACGTGAGAATGGAAAAGAAGATGGATGTAGAATATTGTCTACATACGCTGGTAAGTGTTTGTGGAGTGAGGAAAGAGTTTAAAAATTACTTCCGCTATTATTGGCTTGACCAAGGATTAGGGTCAAATAGTTCTTTCATAATTTAGTAAAACCTGACAATGATACAAGGAACAATGAGTTAGAAATTTAAATGTAAGGGAACAAATAAATAAATGAATTCACATGTACACACAAATTGATCTAGTTAATTATGTGAACACTTCTACACAGGAAACAACAACAAAAATGCTCAGAGAAATTAAAGACCTACATAGGGAAATATATCATGTTTATAGTCTGGAGGACTCAACATTTTTAAGATACCCATTTTTCCAAGCTTGTGCAATCCCTATCAATATTTTACCAAGGATTTTGTGGAAATTGTGAAACTGACTTGTAAAATGTATTCCAAAGCCAAAGTACCTAAATTAGCTAAGGTAGCCTTGAAGAAAAACAAAGGTCAAATACTTAGTTTACTGGCTATCAAGAATTACAATGAAGCTATGGTAATCAAGATAGTAGCACAAGAATACACTAAAAGATACATAGAAAATAGAGTCTAGAATCTAGAGTACATCCCATATATGCAGTCGACATATTTATGAAAAAGTGTTACAGCAATTCATTGGAGGGAAAGAATGGTTACTTAGATAGGTGATGTTGGTTCCATTGGATTTCAATATATTAAAAATAAAGTCTTACCTCTGCCTCAAAAAAATTAATATGAAATAAGTCACAGATGATCTGTAAAATATGAATGATGAAACTTACAGAAAAAAAACAAGAATAATATGTTTATGAGCTTGGGATATACAACAATTTTTAAACAGGACACAAAAATTACTAGGCATAAAAAACTGATAAATTGGTTATCATTAAAATTAAGAAATTTTGCTCATCACTAGACATCACTAAGACGGTTAAAGGATATGATAAAGAATGAGACATTATCGTCTCCAGAGGACTGATATTTAGAATATATTAAGAAATCTTATAAATTAGTACAAAAAAGACAACTCAATTAAACATTTTCAGAAGATTTAGACAGACCATTTCCAAATAAGGATTTCTGACTGGCCCATAAGCATATGGAAAGTTACTCAACATCATTCCTTATCAGGAAAATATAAGTTAAAGCCATAACAACATGCTACTGTCCAGCTACCAGAATGAATGAAATTGTGAAACGATTGACAATCCCAAGTATTTGCACATGTCTATGGAGTGACTGAAATTCTCAGGCGAGTCCCAAAGTGTGGCTTAGCCTTTCAGGATTTTTGGTTTTGCCAAGGATTCAAAGGTAAGCCAGTGGTAGGGTAGAAGAAAACAGCTTTATTGAAGCAGCAATAAAAAGAATTTTACTTAAAAGATTTGTACAGTATATGCATGCTATGTCTAAAACCTGATGATAATTTTGAAAACTTACTTTATCCCTTAATGTAGAATGTTGTAAAATGTTCCATTTTAGCAACAACAAAACAATTGTAAAGGCATTTTTAAGAAAGGAGGCAAAAATCTATTTAGTTGATTATTTTTCCCAGAATCTTATTGACCTATACATTTCCACATATTATGCATTTCAGTAAAACAATGGAGAAGAAATACATTTTCTTCACTTTAGAAAGAAAAAAATAACCCCGAGGCTATTAAGAAGCATAGCAATGATTGGAAGCATAAAAACGAAACTATCTTCGTTTATAAAAATGATTGCCCTGATCATATTATATACTAGCGTTTTAAAAGAAATGTTACCCAATAGAATTATACTGTACCTGACCGCTCACAACTCTCATTTTACTTCTAATCTAATCTGTCTTGTAGTTATCTCTGGAAAGAAAATGGCCCTCTGGTAATATATGTGACATCATGTGCTGAATTTGCAAAGAGGGGTAATTTTGATGAGAATAAATTCATAATAACATAATACATTTCAAGTATATAGGCCAATACTCACTCTAATGTCTGTACTTTTTCTCCAGTCTAGCATCTGATAAATGTTCATACCGGAGACTGGGCAATTTACAAAAGAAAGAGGTTTAATGGACTCACAGTTCCACATGGTTGGGAAGGACTCACAATCATGACATAAGGTGAAAGGCACATCTCACATGGTGACAGACAAGAGAAGAGAACTTGTGTAGGGAAACTCCCCTTTGTAAAACAATCAGATACCATGAGACTTATTCACTATGGCAAGAACAGCACAGGAAAGACCTGCCCCCATGATCCAATCGCCTCCCACTATGTCCCTTCCACAAGTAGGAATTGTGGGAGGTACAATTCAAGATGAGATTTGAGTGGGGACACAACAAAACCATATCAATACGCATAAGTGTTTTCAGCTATGCTGACTGAGTAATGAATGACTTTCCAAATATGTCCATGGCCTTAATCACCAGAGACCATACCTGTGTCACCTTATATGGCAAAAGGGACTTTGCAGTTGTGATTAAGTTAAGGACTTTGAGAAGGGGAGATGATCTTGGATTATCTGCCTGTGTTCAAAATAATCATTAATGCCCTTTAAGAGAAAGGCAGGAGAATCAGAATCAGAGAAGGTGATGGGACAAAGGAAGCAGAGGTTGGAGTGATGGAGGAGGAAGCCACAAGCTAAGGAAGGCAGGTAGCCTCTAGAAGCTGGAAAAGG